ATTCTTACCTGATTCTGTTACTGCACTTTCTATCTCTTCAATGGTGGCATCATGACATTTGAGCTTAGTTTTCCCAGAAGCAGAGCCTGAGGGAAGAATTAAGTACAATTAATTTTGGAGGTGATCTCTGGAAACACTGGAGGCAGAGTAAAGAAGTGAGACAGGGAAGGGAAGATAACTAATGAGGAACTCAAGTGCACTACTACTGTAGGTTAGTCGAATTTAATATGCTGAGGTGGCAGCATAATATGCTGACTCTGGGAGTCAGTGAAAAATCTGCACAATCTCCCATCCTAGGAGAGAGTTTGTGTATTCACATACTATCCTGGTTTCCCTAAACATTAAGTAGTAGCACTGATTAATCCCTCAATCCCAGACAAACCAGAGTGGTTAATCACCCTAACCACCAGCTCCCACCAGTTACTAGTTGAAGGCATCTGAGGAAGGGCAAGTGAGTGGAGGAGTAGAGATTAATTCCCTGACATTTTTAGCCTGTGTGTAGACCACAAAATTAATTCCCCTGATCCAAAAGCCCTTAGTCAAAGAAATTTAGGAGCTGACAGTTAAAGGTAAGGCCATTACACATGACACACTGGATGTGCATGATGAATATGGATCTCCATAGCATTTGCTACAGCCTTGTTTACTATTAGAGACATACTTCCCAATGTCTGGCACATGGCAGGTACTCAAAAATAGTCATTAAATAAATGTATATGTAAATAAGTTACATATACATTTAATTTTTTTTTACAAAGGAAGCAAATTTCTGTGATTTATTTACTATTCTGTCCTCAGCATGGAATATTAATTCTAGCTAAATGTTTAATAAATATTTTGAGTGAATGGGTAATTGAATAAAAAGGTCTTACTGAATGAAGTAGATGATCTTTAAGGTCCTTGTAAGCTGTGAGATTCTATAATATTTAAAAAATCAATATGTACCTTCCACAGTATCCTCTTCAAACACATCATGTTGTTATCTGTGTGGGTACTGTGGAGAGAAAAACACCCTATTTAATCATCCTTAATCAGCCCACATTAGGGAAGTGGAATGTTGCAATGTCCTTTCATCAGCCTCATAGCAGAGTAACTGTGACTAATTGGATAAGGGCCACCATGACCCAGTTTTTGGGCCCTGTCACTTCAGAAACATTAAAAAACACACCGTGGGAGGGTGGAACATAGATTGACTATTGCCACTTGTGCTCCACTAATGATAGAAGTATAGAGAACTCCAGTCTCCAGAACTGGTGCTTCCCATAGCATTTTCTGTATTAAAAAAAAAAAAAAAAATGGAGTGGTGCCTGGGAGGCTCACTTGGTTAAATGTCTGCCTTCAGCTCAGGTCATGATCCCAGCATCCTGGGATGAAGCCCACTTTGGGCTTCCTGCTCAGTGGAGAGCCTGCTTCTCCCTCTGCTCTGCTCCTGTGCTTGCTCTCTCTCTCTCTCTCTCTCTCTCTCAAATAAATAAATAAATAAAATATTTAAAAAAATAAAAAATAATTCAAAAAAATTGAATCAAAAGGGAGGTGTGTGTAGAAGAAGCTAGAGTCTTCAAATAGCTTTCTGAAACACCATCTGAAACAGGAAAGGCTTTGAGTAAAGGACTATGGGAATGTGTTTAAACAACAACAGAAAGTGGATGCACTCTACTTATGGTTTTTAGAACAGTTAGCACTTAAAAAAGCTTTTTGTTTCTTCTAGCTAATTATCTATGTACCACTGTCTTCTGCATTACTGGTGATGATTTTTTAGATAGAATTTCTCGTTCTCTAAGAAAACTCTTATCCTGACCACATATAATGTTTTTTAAAAATCCAGATTTTTATCATAGTGATATGGGAGAGCTTGGTTCCTATCTCACAGAGTCGACACGGGAGAGTGAGTAAAGGGATAGAAGTCTATTAAGTAAAGATACAGAGAAAGCTCTCAGGAGTGATGGGGTCCCAACAGGGTTGCCACTGAGAGCTTCGCAGGGTTGGTCTTTTATTGAGAGCCTAATCAGGAACCTAAATCCTTTTAACATATCCACTGATATCACCCTTGAGTAAGGACTATAGATAACATCTTTAATGGCTTACTTCCTTTTTGGAGTCTGATGATATTTTGTCAGTTACAAGTAGCTGTTATATCAAGACACCCTCCCCACCCACACCTTAGGGCAGAGTGTTCTGGCTTGTTCCCTTATCTCTGGTTTCCTTACACCTCAGCATTTTTGGGATTTGTGTGAGCCTGCTTCCGAGGCCCCTTGCCTAGCCCCATTTGTCCCTAATTTAATAGCAATTTTCTAGTTTAAGAACATATCCCTTTCCTGATTATTAAATCATGTGCACAGCTAAGGATTTTAGAAAACTCAGAGGGTGATTTTTATTAGTATTTTTCGTTATATCTATGATCTACCTAACTATCCATCTATGCATTCATGATTATATATTCTGCCTACCAAATTTGGAAGTTATCTTCATAATTTTCTGACTTAAAATTCACTAGGGTACATACTAAAAAATTATTTTGGGGGCCAAGAGTTAGGATCCCAGAGAGGCTGCAGGTTGTGATTTGCTTTAAATATGAGTGACTTTTGTAGTTCCTTCTCAGATGAATGGCAAAAGACTTGATTCTTATTGGATGACTTTTTTGGGAGATGGCTTTCAAAGAAGCTGAAATCTAGACACAGCCAGAGGGCCATGTGACTCTGGTCAGGGGAGATGGACCCACAGCCACTAGAACTGTAAATAGAGAAAACAGTGATTTCAGGTTGTGTGTCACAGAGACAATTAATTTTTATGCACCTAATTCTTTCTTGGCAAATGTATACAGCACACATGAGGGAAAACAACATTTAGGATGTCCTCATTTGGTGGTGCTTGGTTGGCTTAGTCAGTATGTGATTCCTGATCTGAGTCATGAGTTCAAGCCCCACATTGGGGGTAAAGATTACTTAAAATAAAAAGTGGTTAAAGTGGTAAAGGTTATGTATACTTTACCCTAATTTTAAAAACTAAAAAAAATTATTTGGTGAGGGTTCATGATTCTTTCTCTCTTTTATTTTTTTTTTTTTAGAGAGAAAGAGAGTGCATGTGCATATGCATATATGCAAGAATTGGGAGGAGGGACAGAGGGAGAAGGAGAGAGAATCTTAAGCAGGTTCCCTGCCTGGTGTGAAATTCAGTAGAGCTCGGGCAAGGTTTGATCTTATGACCCTAAAATCATGACAGGAACCAAAATTAACAGTCAGACTTAACCAGCTGAGCCACCCAGGCACCCCCATGATTCTCTTAAATTAGGACATAAAGGCTACTTATGTCTTTGGATATACATATATTTTCCACAACTGGATTATTCTGTTCATATATCTTACAGAATATTTTCCAACTATTAAACCTTAACCAAATCCTTTTGTTTTTTTTTTCAAAGGCATTATTTGTACTTGGGATGTTTATGTGAAATTCGACTCATACCTTATATAAGTTAAAAAAGGTAAACCGGAATTAATGTGATCCAGATTTCTCATGAGAATATTTTGAGCCTGCTCTCTTTTCCTTGAGGTCACAATGCTGGTTAGTTGCAAAAAACAGAGTTAGAAATTGGTTTGATTTTTTATCAAGATTCTTTATATTGTGGCCCTGGCTTAACAACCAACAGTTAGATTTTATTTTTATGGCAGATTAATAACGTTTATAGAGATATAAATATAGAAAATGTATATATGTAGTTATATCCCTTTAAGTATTTTTGAGTTTTTTTTAAATAAATATATATACTGAAAAGGATACTGATTAAATAATTTTCACAAATTGTAGAAAAATTATGACCTACCTATGTACCTGGAATATAGATCTGGAAATGGTATTATCAGTTCCCAGAAGCATCTCTTGTGCTCAGGAATCCTCTCCTCCCCCATCCTTGTAAGAATTCTCCTTCATCACCATAGATTAGTTTTGATTCTTTTTGAATTTATGTAAATGGAACTTAAACTTTTCTTGTGTTGAGTCTGGCATTTTACTCTACATTATAGATGTGGATTCAATCATGTTGTTATTTGTAGTTTATTTGATTGTTGTAAATTTTGTAGTGTAGAATATGCTATTGTATGAATATTCTGCTGCTTTTTTATCTATTCTGCAACTGATAGGCATTTGAGTGGTTTCAGGACATAAATTATTAAAAAATAGCGTTCTGATTAATCTGTTTAAAAAATAAAAATATATTTACATATATGGGTGGTTTTAAATGAAATTTTCATGAATCATAGTGAGTACATTCATTTTTCAGATTTTATTTTGAAAATTCTCATCAACTGCCTATTGGGGTGAGGGCTTTTCTACACTTTAATAAAGATTCAGAGGTAAAATCTGTAGCCCCACTTTTAAGATGTTTGTAGCTTCACAAGAAAGACCACCACATGTATACTTTTTGCAAATTTGGGGAGGAGTAAGGATTTTGTGACCAGATGTTTACTTCTATATTAATGGTTTTTACTTACCTAGTAAATTTCCTTTTTTGTTTTTTTTTTTTTTGGTAAATTTCCAATACCATACTTTTTTTGCCATTATAGGTGGCCCTTGTGCATTAGTTTGTAATGTAATGTAAAATAATTTCTGTCATTGCTCAACACAAGCCTGAAAGCTTTAGCTTTCATGGCAGTAGCAGGAATTTTTTTACTTTAATAGATGTTACCAATTCTCTACTGCCAAACTGGGGAGGTTAACAATTTTTTGTGTTTATTTATTTTAGTTTTTATTAAAATTCCAGTTAGCTCACATGCAGTGTACTATTAGTGCCAGGTGTATAATTTATTGAGTCAACACTTACATACAACACCCTGTGCTCATCACAGCAACTTCCCTTCTTAATACCCATCACCCATTTAACCCACGCCCTGCTCACATCCCCTCCAGTAACCATCAATTTGTTCTCTAAGCAATTTGATTTGCCTCTCTCTTATTTCCTGCTGTGATTGTTTTGCTTCTTAAATTCCATACATGAGTGAAATCATTAAAATATGGAAAGTTTCACAGATTTGCATGTCATCTTTGCACAGGGGCCATGCTACACTTCTCTGAATTATTCCAATTTTGGTATGTGTGCTGCCAAAGTGAGCACAGGAGGTCAACAATTCAACATAAAACACTTTTCAGAGCACTTTAAGATTCTCTACTGTTTAGTTCCTAGGTAACATCTCCATATCTAAAAATCAGTACATGTTTAAAAGAAATGCATGTTGGCTATGTAACTTCTTATATATTCCAGAAATGACAATTTTTTTAAAATTTTTATTTATTTATGATAGTCACACACACAGAGAGAGAAAGAGAGAGAGAGAGAGAGAGAGGCAGAGACACAGGCAGAGGGAGAAGCAGGCTCTATGCACGGGGAGCCCAACGCGGGACTCGATCCCGGGTCTCCAGGATCGTGCCCTGGGCCAAAGGCAGGCGCCAAACCACTGCGCCACCCAGGGATCCCCAGAAATGACAATTTTGAAAGAAAAACTAATTCACTACTCTATTAGGTACTAACAAAGATTCTCTCCTTGACCAAGCTTTAGTACAGCAGCTCTGAGCCCTTTACCTCAAATAGGCTCAACTTTGGAAATTGTGTATTCATTTGAAATTGTATATTCATCTTTGCATTGCCGTTTCAGCAAGAATCCTGTTGAGTCAGTCTAGCAAAAAATCCGTCTAAGCTTTGATGTGTCCTCTTTGTAATTTTCCATCCACTGAGCCCTACAGTACTCTGGCCATAAATTCCCACTTGTTCTTGTATTTGTAGTTGAACTCTACATCTTTCTCCCACTGCAAAGCCCCCATTACAGTAGTCTCTCTTAAATAGTCTTTTATAATTTTGTTAACAAGTGTCCTGAATAATAATATTTTAATGGGTTTTTTAATGAATAATATATTATTCTGGGGAAACCCAATGATTCACCATCTTCTAGTTTTATTTTCCATCTATATCTTATAAATATAAATAAAGACAGAAAAGATATCAATACAGTTGAAACTTGAATAACACAAGTTTGTACTATTTGCATCCACTTGTACACAGTTTGCTTTGATAAATATAGTTCTATAAATATGTTTTCTCTTATGACTTTTAAAATAACATTTTTCTAGTTTACAGTATGAATACAATATATAATACAATACATAATATGCAAAATATGTTAATTGGCTGTTTACATTATCAGTATGACTTTAGTCAACATTAGCAGGCTGTTAGTGGTTAAGTTTTGAAGGAGTCCAAAGCTATATGCTAATTTTCATCTGCAGAGGGAGTCAGTATCTAAACCCTTGAATTGTCAAGGACCAACTGTATATTAAAATTAATAAAAGAAAACCAGCTTAAGGCATCTCTCTCTCTCTCTCTCTCTCATACACACACACACACACACACACACACACACACACACGATTTAAAGAAAGGTAAAGATTTTGTGATTATATCTTTCCTTTTTTATAATACTTTTTTTTTTTTTTGAAATATAGTGTAAACTCTATGAGAACAAAACCCATGTCAATAGTTTTCACCATGATATCTCCAAAGCACAGTGCAATGCTTGGCAGATGGCAAGGACTCAACAAACTTATTGAATTGAATTGTATCTTCATTACTTTACAAAGGCATCAAGTGTTTTGGGGGAAAAAAGTAAACGATTAAGAAGAAGAGAGACAGGAGTCAGTAGAAGCTTAAAACAGAAAAGGAACTAAATTCACATATCAAGTATAATTGCACTACTATTCAGTAAGTCTCCACGAGGACTCAGTTCCTTCTTATTTTAAGGGAGTCAGGGCACTGTTCAATAAGGAAGTCATAGTCTTGTACCCTGTTGGACCTTGGGTTCAGAGGGTCTATAAGTTGATCCATTTTCCATCTGGTTTTATTTGTAGTCACTTTAGGTTAAATTGTACCAATAAAGTTTCAATTGTACCTATAGCAATTTTATTTACAGAAATAGGACTCTGGCTTTGCTAATTTTAGCTTCAACCCAGTATAGAATTATACCCTTGGGGTACCTGTAACTCAGAAACCATGTTTCTTTTTAAACTGAGCAATAGCAGATGAGAAATATTGGCTCAGAAGGTCCACATTTTGCTAAAATAGCTCCAGGCTGCTTTGCCCTATAAATCACTGAATGACTTGGACATTTGCCATGGGGCTCACCAGAGGGCCATAGCTATTAGTTCACATTAACTCCCCATTTAGGCATTTCCTTGTCTGTTATAAAGCCTGAAGGCATTTCCTTGTCTGTTATAAAGCCAATTTGAAAATTGTTCATGTTGAACAGAATGGTTAAAATATGCAATGTGATTCTTTTTAAAAACTACTTTTTTTTCAGGCACCTAGGTGGCTCAGTGATTGAGTATCTACCTTTGGCTCAGGGGATGATCCTGGGGTCCTAGCATCAAGTCCCACATCAGGCTCCCTGCAGGAAGCCTGCTTCTCCCTCTGCTTATGTCTCTGCCTCTCTCTGTCTCTCATGAATAAATACATAAAAATCTCTTTAAAAAAACCTACTTTTTTAATGGATTAGGCATCAACTGAAAAGATCTAAATTAAACCTTTATATTCAGAGTTTTGGATGATATGATGCAAATGAAGAAGCTTTATCATGCAGTACATGTACTAATTTTTGGAGATTGCTGGATAATTTGTTTCTCTAGACCTGTTCTCCAGTCTTCCTCACCATGAGGTATTCCCCATGAGGCTAATCTCTCTAGCCCACACTATATGAGTTTCCTTGCCCTCTAGTTTCCATTTGGTTTGACCAGTAGGATGCTTTAGGTAAGAGAGGAGAGAAATCTGAGTGTTGGTTCCCACACTCCCACTCTGCCTAGCCACTATTTGGCAGTGGCTGTCTCTTCTATGCAAATTCACAGCTCCTGTTAGGTGGCTTCTATTCTATGCCATTTTCTAGGTTCCAATACTCCTTCCTCTTGCACTTTCAGGACTAGAATGATGTAGTAGGCAGAATAATGATACCCCAAAGATGTATATGTTCTAATCCCTAGGACTTGTGAATATGATGCCTTACTTATTAAAAAGGACTTTGCCGATGTGATTAAGTTTAAAGCCTAGAGACGAGTGGATTATCCTGAATTATATAGGTGGGCCCAGTGTAGTCACAATGGTCCTTATAAATGGAAGGCAGTAGGTCAGAGGTAGAGATACAATGGAGGAAGCAGAGGTTGGAGTGATATAATTGCTGGCTTTGAAGCTGGAAAAGGGCCATTGGCTAAGCAATGCAGCAAGCCTCCAGAACCTGGAAAAAGCAAAGAACAAATTCTCCCTTGAAGGAACTCAGCCCAGAGAGCATCTTTAGTTTAGCCAGGAGACTATGGACTTTGAGGTATGATCATGAATTTGTGCTGTTCTAAATTAACTAAATGTGTGATAATTTGATACAGTGGCAGTAGGAAACCAATCCAGATGATAATGGCTTTCCCATGGTACAATACCATCCTTTGGTTGGTGAAATTTAACACTGCCTACATCTTTGTGAATAACTCCTTGATTAATTTTTCTTCATTTATTCTCTTTGAGTGTACCATCTGACTTTTGCCAGGACTCGGTTAAATACATATACTTTATTTAGTAAACCACTTTTAAAGATTTATTCTATTTAAATAGTGGGATATATATACAGTGCCTGAGGTAAATACAGATATTCACTGTATCATTATTTATAACAATAAGAGATAACATAAATTTTCAGAATAAGGACTGGCTAAATAAATTATGGTACAGCTGTATGGTATAACAATAGAATGCCAGAAAATATTTGTTACATATATACATGCATACATGCCTGACTGCAGACTATAAAACAGATCTATATCTATACCTACATCCATATCATGTTTATACCTTTATTACCTACCTATCTCACTAGATAAAGAAAAAGTAATGCTTTTAGTGGTTAACTCTTGCTAGTAGATAAAGGGTATCTTTTTCTTTGCAGTTTTTCATACTTTTCAAAGTTTCTACAAAGTTTTCATTAGTGTTCAGAAAACTTTAAAGCAATAATGGGGCTTCCTCACATATGTAGAATGCTTTGTATTACAGAGAAAGTATTTCTATCTTCATCCAGTTAGACTAATAATTTCTTCTACTGCACCTATTCAGTGCAGCTCCATTATAGTTACTTATATTCTTATCTGACTCCTCTATCATATTACGGGGCATTTTGAAGCAGAGAATGCCTTAAAATTTATTTCTTCCTATACTCACAGTGCCCTTTGTAAGGCTCTTGATATGTGTTTACTGAAAGCTTTATACAAAATTGATTTTATAGATGCTTAATCAAAACTTCTTTGATAAGGGACTTATTTTTAGACCCATAAATAATACAAGTAACATAAAAAAAACTAAAAGGCAAATTTATATACTTATAGCAGGGAGATAGAAGATAACTTGATTTAAGATGCAAATGTGCTGAATTATTTATACTAGATTCTTGTCACAGAATTGTCCATTTAAACTTTGTTTACTAAGAGGATTGAATAAGATAAGTACTTACTTAGCTGAGGTAAACATTAGGATTAGGTTACTCAACAATCCCATTAAGTACTGGAAGAAATAAAATAGCTTATCATACTTTCGGCTGGAAAGGCTTCATGGGCTAGGTAGACTCTTTAATTAGCGACTGTTCAGTGTGTGAACAGAGAAAGGCAATCTAGTAATATGGCACTATTTTGAAAAAGACTCAAGAAGGAAATTGGACAGAGTCTAGGCAACTGTGTGGAGATATGACACAGTTTAGAAAAATCTGAATGTTAGATAGCATCAATAACATTAGCAGAGGAGTGATAGAAGTAAGATGGGTTAGAAAGGACCAAATGCCCTTATTTACATATGAAACTGAGTCTCCTATGATAGGAATTGTCAGGAAAATCTCCAGGTGTGGGACACTTGGGTGGAATAGTCAGTTAAGCATCAGACTCTTGGTTTTGGCTCAGGTTGTGATTTCAGGGTTATGAGATAGAGTCCCGCCTAGGGCTCCACCCTCAGTGTGGAGTCTGTTTGAGATTCTCTCTCCTCCCTCTACCCCTCCCCACCAAGTTCTCTCTCCCTCTCTTTCTAAAATATTAAATAAATCTAAAAAA